AAGCCTTCCTCCACATGGTGTGGAGACTTCATATTTCCAGGTTCGTAGCTGAAGGATTAAGAAACAGTGTAGACCACAGCTCCAGGGCATGTCAGGGAAGCAGCTGGCACGTCCAGGTAAGTTGCTGGCGCGGCATCCCTTTTGGAGTGTGGACTAAGTTTTGCCTGAGCCCCGCCATTTAGTACGAGCATGCAAACAGTGAACATATGGAAGAGCTTGTCTGAATTCTAGGGCAGTATGTGGAAGAATTAAATAAATCACACGAATGGGCAGGAAGATCCTTTCATTTCAAGTGTTTGCTATTTTTTTCTCTCTCTCATTAGTTTTATTCTTAGTTCGAAAAGAACCTCTCTCTGTTTCCACGTGAGTCTGATTGGATACATATTCTCAGGAAGCAGGCTGCATGGCAGCAGTAGTGTTCGCTATCAGACACGAATTAGACAAGACGGTCAAAATGAACTAAAGAATTGATAGTATCGCACACCATTGTCCTTTCCTTTAGAACATATGGATACACTTAAAGGTTGCCTTTATGTTTGATAAAATCAAAGACAGATCCAACTGATTTTACATAATGGGCTATTTCAAAGTAATGAATTAGCTGAACTAATGCTTTCTCACAAAACAAATAATTCCCAAAGAAAATAGATCTTTATTCTTAAATCCCCCTCCTCCCTTCTCAATTAATTAGATGTTGTTGGTAAAAAGGAAGTTAAGAAATTCAGCATTAGCCTGATTATATCATGAATGTAAAATGAGGAGGGCAAATAATGGACTCTATACTCTTTCAAACAAGTTAAATAAGCCCATAATAGCCCACCAGTTGTGTAAACACTATTTCACTATTCTTGTAAAAGAAATATTGACTTACCTGCTAGCTAAAATTATCCCAGCATGTTTCAGCTAAGTTTGTTAGTAATTCTTGTGGTGCACATGAATGTTTTGAGTTGTGGGCTTCCATTAAAGATTAAAGAATTGGGGAAACATTTTTTTTTTTAGCAAACCCAAAAAGTAGGACATGCTCCAGACTACACCTCACTGGCATCAAGGAACCTGAAGTGAAGAGTCTAAAAAACTAGAATGATTTCCGTTGTAGCATGAGATATTCCATTACTCAGTAGCTCATTAATACTGACATACTTTCTAACACCACAAAAAAAAAAAAAATCAAAGAATATTAAATGAGTCTAGTTTCACCCTCATGTCTTTCTCTGACTGCAATATGTGTTTGTTTGTTTGTTTGTCTGTCTGTTTGTTTGTGACAGGGTTTCTCTGTGCAGCCTTGGCTGTCTTGAACTTGCTTTGTATACCAAGTAGGCCTCAAATTCAGAGATCCACCTGCCTCTGCCTCCCAGAGGGATTACAGGCATACTACCTCATCCAGCTTGCAATACTTATTTTTCACTTCAATGTGTAATTAGTTGTAGACAGGAACCAGATAAAAATATATAGTTATATATTATATATATATCACAATATAATTATAATAAATCCAAGGTTCCATCCAGATTCTAAAGTTATGAGGGAAAGAGCGCAGAAGGACTTAGTACAAGATAAAGACTTTGGTCTCCAAACCCCAACGTACTGACCACCACTGGAAAAAACACTGACACTTCCCATCTTTGAATGTCAGATAAAAAGACAACATCTCTGAGACCCACAGCTTAGTAAGTGGCTGTCACTATTAGGGCTGAGTCAATGTTGTTGCTCATTATCAGTCAATTCAAATTTTCTTATGAATTAGATGGTATTTGTTAAAAAAATGGAGATCACAAGTATTATTGAAGCTTCCATTTTGGGTGCAAGCTTATTTGGTTTGCTATAGTTTCATCTTTATTGGTGAAGCTTAAGTAATTAATATACATCTAATCGGGAAACAAATTCCCCCATCAGCTCTCGTATTTTTATTGTCAAGCCACATGAAACTCTTTTACAGGGTCTTCAAGAGCTTGAAGAATCATTAGGCCCTCCATGGTCCATATGCTTTCAAGGTTTCTACTGAGCTGTATTGTGAATTCTCATGCCCTGGGTCAAAGGAACTAAACAAAACTGTGTTCATGTGCTTGGGGATGGGAACAGATGTATTTAAATTCAGGTGTCTAGAAGACGACCTTGGAAATTTACTTCTCTCCTTGCTAATTCTAAGGATCTGCTAATTACCAGTGAGGTTTCTCTATAATGCAGAAGCAGAACCCACCCTGAACTTGGTTTGTTTTGTTTTGTCTTAGATCTTATGAAGTCCAAATGAGGATCCATAACAGTCCTCCAAACAGATCCAATGCATTCTCCTAGGGTCTCATACCCCAACACCCCTTCACACCAGGACAGAAGGTGGAGCCATAAGGCTGGCCAACTCAGCTGCCTCCGAAAGGAGAATTATGGGGCAGTCTTACCAAGGGAAGTAAATATTGAGTATGCCAAAAGGGGGTGGGGAGTGAAAGGAGGAAGAAGAGAAAAAGAAATATAAAAGGAAGATGCAATTGATATTTATTCCCCCTGGCCTCATTTGACATATCTCTCTTCCCTGTTTCATCACATCAGAAACCTTCCTACCCCACCTGCACATGTTAATAAGCTTCAACCCTCCCCTCAGCCCCCCCCCCAAAAAAAAAGAAGAGGAAAATCACTGACAGCTGTGAAGTTGGTATGGGCCAAGTTCCAGACACTGTACCATTTTGAATAACCAAGATAAATAATACTTCCACAGCTTTACTGGGAAGGGAGCTGAGAGCTGGCTCATTTTGGGGTCTGTGATCAAGCAGCCTGAACCTGGAAGAATCTAGATTCACATACAGTTCTGCCTGACCTGTTCTGGGACAATGCTACACTCCTTTGGGGTGAAACGGACATCAAAGGAAGTTGTGTAGTGTTTTTAAATGGATAGCGGGCACCACCATTTCTGCATGCCTGTGTTGATGGATCAGTAGCCCCTTTCCTTCAAAGTGATCAAACCAGAGCTGATTAAACAGAAGGTTTGTTTGTTCGGAATAGCCCTAAGGGAAACTCTGCTGACCACCACTGTTGTTCTTAAGTGGCCACCATTCCAGAACCACTGTAGATGCAGGATCCCCGAGAGACAGCAGTAGCTCTAGGACACTGCGGACATTCCAGCTGGAGCTTTCCAGATATCTGTGGAAGACCCGCAGAAGGAATGACTCTCAGTCCCATTTAAGAGAAAATCAGGGGCTAGATTTTTTTTTTAATGGAAAGAAGAAAATGGATGAGTAGGCATTCTCTAAGTTTGGAGAGAATTCTCTAAGAGAGACAGAAAGAAAAAAAAAAAAACCTGTGAGAATAAACAGGAGACATGAGTGACGGATGTATTGTGGACTGGGAAGGAGATGAGGGAAAAGTAACAAAATGGGGTAATGAGGTGATTTTCCAGAAGCCAAGACTAACTCATGGCATGGTTCTCAATGGTACCACTAGTTCTTCCCAAGTCCTGGGCCAGGATTTCTTTTTTTGATAAATGAGAAACATGAGAAGAACATGCCTGTGAGCTCCCTCCCCGCCCCCCCCCCCGCTGGCCTGTCCCCTCAACTCCTATCAAGGAGAAACACAAACTTACTAATGACTGAACTCACCCAAGAAAAGCACATGCTCTGTCTACAGGTCTGATAATAATATGTTTATAAATATGCATATATGATATATGTACATATGATATACACATAAATATATTCATATATATGTATATACCAGATGAGTGAATAGGCGAATTTAGGAATCACTCTAGAACTAAAAGGCAATAAACATACCACATCAAGAAGAGTCTTCCTGCTTATAAAATTCCGTTTGTAAGATAAATCCCACTGGACAAGCTAAGAAGAAAATTTAGGTAGGCTTGAAAGCCGAAAGGGTTCTCTGGCTTCCTGTGGTCCACAGTGAAAATGGCATTGTTGATAGTTGTCATGGTAGGCTTGGCCTGACATCTAGAGCTGTCCACAGGTGTAAGAGAGGTCAACTTCTACCTCAATGAGGTCTAGTTTCATTAAAAGGGGCGTGGGAAGGAGAGAGGAAGGGAAAGAACAGAATCTTCCTGTCCTTCTTTTCATCCATTTCCCAGCAAATTCCCGGGTGGTGTCTGAGAACTCCCTTCTTCCTCGTTAGTGTCCTTCCGAGGTACCTATGAGGCCTATGAGGCTCACCTGCGTGGAATCGCTCTTGGCTTCAAAACACCCCTTCATAGAGCGAACAGCGGGGTTCTGTCAGCATCCCTCACTAGAGGCCAATGCCATGAGAAGATCACCCCCACCCCCAGGCCGCAGCCTTTTGAAAAGTCACTTTGACTCCCTGGTCCGGGATGAATTGGGAAGACCCTGGAGTGCCGGCTTACTAAAGTTTTATTTGTTCAGCGATTTCTTCAAGGCTTTGATATACGAGCAAGAGGGAGCCAGACAGGGCCCTGACGGGAGGATCAAAAAGGCCACCCATCTTCCCGGGGGACTCTTGCTCCCGTTCCTTGATGCCTATCTTTCCGATTAGATTTTGGTCCCTTTTAAAAGCACTGCATGCATCGCCTCGGTTATCTGCCGTGGACTTGGAAGCCTGCGTTATCAGTCTTTCGGTCCCGAAGTGTCTGCTTACGTTCTGAAGCAGCGCCCCCCGCCCCCACCGCACCCCCCCCCAGCTCTCACATCTCATTCGCGGGTACCCAGGAACCGCAGAGGGTAGGTGCAGGTGGGGGAGGGTCCCCTGCCGGCCCGTGACGCTAATTCTAGAACCCACCCCTAGGAGAACCCCCCAGCCCTCGCCAAGCCCCTCACGCTGCCAGCCTGGCAGCCGGGTCTGAGGAAGGGAGAGGGTGGTGGGAGGGAGGAAGGAAAGCGAGGCCGGGCTCGGGGGGGTGCCTGGAGAGCAGGGCTGCGCTGACGTCACTGGGCGCGCAATTTGGCTGGAGCGCTTTAAAAAAGGAGCGTGCGAGCGGAGATGCTGCTGCACACAGCTCGGGCCGCCTGCAGCAGCGACCGCGCTCACCGCCACTGCGGCGACCGCAGCGAGGGGCCCCCCGAGGCCGGCGTGGCCGCGGCTCCCTGCGCCGTCCTCACGGAGCTACACCCCGGCAGACGCCCGCCCGGCTGCAGGCGTCCTCTGGGGGGTGGTTTGCAGACTCCCGCTGAGCCGCAGAAGAAGCCGGTGGAGAAGAACCCGGAGCGCGTCTGCATCAGCCCCGCAGCTGCCCTCTACAGGCTCCCGGCTCGCTGCTCCCAGCCTCGGGCACCATGGACACCTCCCGCGTCCGCGTGCTCCTGTCCCTGCCCGCGCTGCTGCAGATGGTGGCCGCCGGCAGCCCGCCGAGCCCGGACGCGATGCCGCTGGGCTGCCCGTCACGCTGTCAGTGCGAGCTGGACGGCAGGATGCTGCTCAGGGTGGACTGCTCCGACCTGGGGCTCTCGGAGCTTCCCTCCAACCTCAGCGTCTTCACCTCCTACCTGTAAGTGCGCCCCCCGCCTCACTGTGGGAAGGGAACTAAAGAAGTGGGGAGCGGGGGGGGGAGGCTCTGGAGCCAAGGCTGGGGGTCCCCCCCCCCGAGCGCAAGCATGCTCTGGAGGGGGCGGGCGAGTGTGCCAAGGGCATCCTAACCAGACCTGTTTCGGCCTCCAGAGAGAGGCACGTGTCTGACGGAGCCGCGCCTGGCACTCTGCACCCCAGGAGAAGCAGCTTCTAGCGCACCCCAGGCAAAGAGCTGCTGCGCAGGCAGCTTCCCGGGGCAGCACCTGGCAGGTAGCAGGACCAGTCCCCACTAATGTGGGCATTTGTGTGCGGGGGGGGGGGTGTTGTGCTCAGGAACCTGGAACCCAAGGGCAGCGTGCCCTACTGCTCTCAGCCGCGACCTCTGCGTCTGGACTGTAAAACTTTCCCTGCAAGACAAACCCAACTTCCCCAAGCCCTCGGGAGGGGAGGGGGGAAGGTTCTGCTCTGCATGCCCAGCACTGGAGTGTGATGAAATCTTTTTCTTTTCTTTTTTCTTTTCTTTTCTTTTTTTTTTTTTTTTCAAAAAACAAAGTGATTAAAATGTGGCAACCACAAACCCCGATTAGAGCTGCCAGAACGTTATCTTTACCTTTGGCTGGCCGAGCCGCCCTTTGAAGTGCCGGCGGCCTCATTGTAATCTTTAACCATCTCCTCCCCCGCGGCAGCAAAGGGAAGTGGGCTGAAGGCAGCCGGGCGGGTAAACAGGGGCGCCGCAGACATCCAAAGGGGGACCCGGGGCTTTCTGTCGCCCTTGGGAATCCTCCCAGCCTTTCTGCCCCGGCTACTGCATCCAAATCCCCGACCGTGGAAACCAGGCTGCGGCTCCTTTAGAATGTGGTCTCTGAGACGCCCAGGCAGGAGGGTAACAGGTGGTGGGGGAGATGACGTGACTCAGAAGCAGCCCAGCTCTGTGGGACCAAGATAAGTACTCCTCCCAGCTCCCCCCTCCTGATCTGCAGCTCGGTTCCTTGGGGCCCAGAAACCCCGCTAGAGGCCACCTTGGGTTAACGTGATCTCCTAAAAAAATTGTGGTCTTTAAATTTTTAAATCAAGACATTTCGTTGAGCCCATCCAATAACCGTGTATTCCCAGTTTCGGCTTTCTCTGATGTACCTTGGCCGGGGCTGCCTGAAATGTTTGTGAGTTCGGTTTTTTTCCCCTCTGGTTAGTAGTTTTGAGGAATGAAACAGGAGGCTTGCACAATGTTCCCTGATAGGCAGCGAGGGCTTTTCTGGAGACAATGAGCAACAGAAAACATCGTTCAACCTGTTCTGATCCTGCGTCTCAAGAAAAGCGATCAGCCTCCTAGGTTTCCGTGCTGGTGGACTGCAGGCACCTCCGTGTTCCGTGAAACTGTGCAGGTCACTTTTCTTTACCTTAGTAGAATATAAAAATTTTCCCCGGCCAGGTTTCCCATCAACTGAACTCATTACGTGTGATAATATATATATATATATATATATATATATATATATATATATATATATATATATATATATATATATATATATTTTAGGGATGGAATTCTGCTCTGGGAAACAATCATTCTCAAAATTTACATTTCCTTCCGAGCAGCTGTCTTACCACAGGGTTCAGCACGCCTCCCTTCCCCCAGCCTCCCTAGTTTAACCGCTAACCTCGGTGATTCCAGGATAGCGTGTTCTCCAGTTGTTTCTGAGATCGGTTTGAGGATTTCTCTTCTAGAGACTGTACTATTCTTTCCCCTAACCCTACGGAAATTTTGCTATAGAAAAGAGCAATGAGCAGCCCCTCATACATGTTGCAAACATATAACATAGTATAAAATATGCAAACAACTCGATGAAGGGTCAGGTTTACTTCTCTTCTCCCACGTGAAGGAATGAACATTTGTTGGGCTTATGTTACTAAAAGCTTAACATTCTTTTTTTTTTAATGCTATTTCCCATATTCCTCAAATGTATGTAATTGCATCCTTCCTTCACATCTCAGAAGTTGCTGCGACTGCTCTCTGTTGCGCACAGTCTACAACCCCTAGAAGAGTTAAGATTCGATTCGAAGGGGATTGTGGTCGTGTTCTCACACTATTTGACGACACTCTGTACACCGTGTCTACAGAAAAGGGCTTCTCGGTGCCTGTGGAAACACTGAACTCTAAGTGTCTGTAAAAAGTGGTAGACTTGTCTCACCCCTCATGTCCTAAACTGTGAAGAACCTGCCTGTCCTTCATAATATGATTTCCTGTTTGTTTCCTTGCTCTTCCTTTCTTCCTTTCTTTCTTCCTTTCCTCCATTCCTTCCTTCCTTCTTTCTTTCTTTCTTTCTTTCTTTCTTTCTTTCTTTCTTTCTTTCTTTCTTTCTTTCTTTCTTTCTTTCTTCAGAGCACAAAATTCCAGCAGCAGCCGTGGCATGCCCTTCACCCTGGGTTGAAGATTTGAATTTTCTGTTTGACAACTCAAGGGGTTTCTCTGTACAGACCTAGGAGTAAATGATGCCCTCTTTTGGTTCCCCCTAGTATTACCTGAGCATTTCTGCCTTGGCTGTCAAGTCCTAACCCAGTGGTCCTCAACCTTCTAGCCGCCACCCTTTAACACACAGTTCTTCATGTTGTGGTAACCTCCAACCATAAAATTATTTTCACTGATATTTCATAGCCGTAATTTTGACACTGTTATGAATCGCAATGCTAATTCTTTGGGAGATAGGGGTTTGCTGAAGGGGTTGCAACCCACAGGTTAAAAACCAGTATAAAAAGGGAATTTTTATATACTCATATTTCAAGTAAATAAGTGTGGCTTTTTGATTCTTGTTTTGGTATACAGGAGGGAGAATTTTTGAAACATTTGAAAGGAGCATTGAAATTATGATCTCACTGTCCTGGTGGGTAGACAGTAATTAAGTATGACAAGATATGCAGGTGATTGGCCTAGAAGACTGTCTTTTACTGTTTGCAGTAGGGTATCACCATTCGTTTGGTCTAAATGTTATCTTCCAGGCCCTCTAAAGTAAAAGAACAAGTGTTTTGTTTCCTTTAAACAAACTGGATAGCAAGTTCCAGCTGTAAACACTTGCCAGGTAGATTAGCCACAATCTGATAGCTGGCTAATAAGCATTACAGGTAAAGATTTCCTATCCCTCTTCAGACAAGGCAAGAACAATTTATGCACCATTTTATAGCCTCTCTCCCCTGGGACTGTAAATCCAAACACAGCCTCTACAGTCACGTGAAGTCTGCATTCTTCCCCAGTAACCTGTAGCTGGACGACTGACCATCACTGGGAACTGAAATGTTTCTCCTTCAGCTCTTTTCTCTCCCTCCTTCTCTATCTATTCAGCCCTTATTCACTCCCGTTGCTTAAGGGCCAACAAGGTTCTCTCTGCAGAAAATTAGGCACCCACGGACGTTAAAGCATAAAGTAGACGGTCGTTGTGTACAATGGTTAGTTCGCCTCACCAGGGTTCAGTGAGAGAGAGCAAAGTGGGCCGGCATCTCACCTTCTCATGTGGTGTCATTTTAGACCGTCCCGTGCGGCGGTTTTTCAAACAGGGTCACAAAAAGCAAACTTCCACGTGCTAGTTGCTGTGTTCTTCATCCAGTTAGCAGGGCACCCTGGCAGAAAACTAAAGCTCAGCAAGCAGTCTAATACAGTCCGTTCCTTTTCCTTACTAGTCCACACTGGCTGCTTTTAAATGAAAACCGAGCTTTTCCTTATTGAGGCTGAACAGCGTGAGTGTTTCATCCACTAGTGAACATACGCTGTATGAAAAAGTGAATCAAAAGAACCTTTATATTTTATATAATTTGGTGGCTTCTCCCTATGGTATTTTGAAACAAAAGTTAACTCTACATGTAATTAATAAAACTGGTATTACTAAGAACTAGTCAGAAAATCTCAGCTCTATTATATATGGCTCTAGACTTTTTACAAGTTTTAAACACTTAAGAGGCAGTTTCAAAACTAAATTTAAAAAGTTTTAGAATCGTCTTCAAAAATTGAACATTTCTGGTTCTCTTCAGACAAAGACAAGCATTTTAAGCAAAAGAAAATGTTTGTCCTTTAGAAATGGCTCCACAAAGCTTAATGCGTATGCCTTACAATTTAGATCAATTGCAAAATGTGTACATTTGTTTTGGCACATGCACTGTTTACATGTAGTTTAAAATAGACTATCTACAACTTTTCTGCACTGTGATGAAGTTCTATCTTCCCCAGGACTGGTGGTTGGGAGTCCAGCAGAGATTTTGTTATGGGAGCAACTATTGATGTTAATTGGCTAAATTAGTCTAAATAGTTTTTAAATGGTGAGTCAGACAATTTAATTACATAAATTTGGAACAAACAGAGTATGCCCAATGTGTATGCAATAGAGTTTGCGAAGTTTCGATGAATGTGCGCAGAGAATAACATGATCTTCAGGCTCTCTCCTTTTTTCTGTCTACATTTTCTTCTAACTAAAAGAGAACTGAAGGCGAGGCATCATAAGTGTTAGGAGATATGAATGAAGAAATAAGATCTCAGTGGCACCATTCACCCTTGAATATGCCTAGGGGCTTCAGAAACACAAATTTTGCCCATGGCTTCTCATGACTCAGTTTTTACATATGAGCTCATTGATCACTTTTTAGTTTCCAAAGCATAGAAGTACCAAAGGTAAAAAAGCAGCACTGAGTAAGCGATCCCATGAAACCACCAAAGTTCAATATGTCACAGGATATTGATAGTCTTCAAGCTGATACCTAATTTTCATTTACCTTAATAAAATACTTCCTATTCTATCAAATCCAAGTCCTTAGGTAATTTTAACAAATCCAGATCTGGTTATCCCAAATCACATGCCACAGGACATGAACAAAAGGCTGTAGTGATTTCTACACCAATTTTGTTCAGTTTCATTTTGACCATGTCTTTGCACAAATTTAGAATAAAACTAAATGTCATGCCACATTTCCATGAAAAACATCTCCTCTCCTCTCCAATTG